ACACGACTACTGTTCCACTTGATTCATGAGAGGAATTATGGTTATTCTTTGTTTAATCTGACTAGGTTCAACTGTGGCTCAAACTAGAAGTAGCACTGGATTGTTTTCAGTAGCATCATAGGAACACACTGGAATTAGTCTTTGATAACGGCATGCATATGTAGCTGAGAGTGGTAGGCTAGTCTTCCAATAACTGTGTGAATTCCATACTAATGTACAGTAGTACTTGAACAACAGGGAGTGTGCAGTGTATGACAAATGGAAAACATACCTTGTAGAGTGATCACTGCTGCTTTCCATGTTGAATATCTGTCTCACCTTCTGAAAAGGCAATCTGTGTGCTCTGCATCATTAAATATTAACCTAGATCACACAGTCTAGTCACAAATTATTACCACATTGAATGTGCTTTAAAGGAAGGAAAGTGTTCTCCCTAATGTTCACTATTTATTCTGCTCCTTAGGCTTGGAAGGAAATACCAACTACCCATGTTAAGTTACTTAATTTCTTAATGCAGTGTAATTCTCTACTGTTGCAGCTCCAGTTACTTAATCTTATATTTTTTGTCAGGGGAAGTAACAATCTAATGTGTTTACCTAAATACTATTCACATACTTTTGGAGACATTAATTTTAGATCAAACTTGAGTCTTTTTTTTCCCGTAGTTGTTTTTCTGGGACCCTACATTTAGATACATTAACATTTGCCAAAAATTACCATAGTTATTCCCTGCTATAAGTATGCAAGAAAACTCTGGTGTAGCAATACCGATCTGTGGTGAATAATGGCTTTTTAATGATGAGCTTTGTGTATTTAAATGATGATGTACATTTGCTTTTAATGCACTCCATCCTATGTAATGCAGTGTCACATAAAATAACAACCTAAAATATTATCTATAGATCTAATTTGCTTAAGTTAAAAATGTTAGCAACTGCCCACCAATTAGAATATCTAATTATAAATCTGCATTACACAAACCTTGTTCTAATGTAATGGTTAAACGACAAAGCTGAATGTGGCAAAAGGGAGAAAACTGAAGCGAAATTTTTCCCCCTAAGGTGCAGCTAAATGTGAATAAGAACGGAGGAATCTTGCCTGAAATAAGCAAGAATTTTCACACATTGGTTACTCTTCTGGAGGAGTGATTTGGCATGAACAATTAATTGCTTGTGCTAGAATTGCATGCAACAAGCAGATTGTCCGTTGTGGTCCAGACACTGGCAGTTTTGAACAGACCCTGTTCATTAGAACCTTTGCTAGATCAAAAGCACAGGGTGAAAGGAACTTCTAAGAGGCACTGTAAGCCTTATGCATTATTTCTCCTATTTCTACTTGAGTTTGGTAAAAGGCCTCTGATGCAGGATTGACAATCTAACCACTCTGCTCTTAGTGACGGTTACTGACATTTGCTAATTGCATTTGCCATTGGAACAAATATGTGTACTTCTTTGAGGGTCAACCAGACTAAGAAAGAAGGCATGGCTTAAGCTGATGGATATTGAAATAACTAGGTCTAGACAAACACACAGGAGTTGATCTTTGGAAAAATAAAGGTAGGATGGCTAGTCCTTAACAGGGAAAGA